CGGAGCTGAAATTTTGAGAACTACTATAACCATCATAGAAAAGTACATATATTTACAAACAGTTGTATACGCAAGACACTCTTGATCAGTTGACGAAAATTCAACTTCATTTAGAATATATGTTTGTATGTAAGACGTCGTATTATCTGTGCTTCATCATAAACTCACTTTTCAATATAAAATCTGTTATTATGCCTTATGTTGATGAAATAAGGACATTGACAGAATCCCATCGATCTGTAAGTGTGCCCACTACCGTTATTCATCGTATTCCATAAAGAAAATTCTACAGCCTCTTTATTCAGAAATGTTTTACTCTAACGTCAAAATGTACACAGACAATGAGGTTTAAGCCTTGGACGTTGTCGATACGTAAAGATTCTCTCGAAAATGTGACATCTATGTGGTAAACACTGCACAAAACCTTGATTATTACCAAAAGATGGCAAAAATGTACTCAGGGTCGTCGCAGATCCCTGAAACAACATAGAGTATAACGAAACAAATCAAGAATGCTAGGCAGCAACAAAACATGCTCTGGATCTACAAGAACTAAATCAACTTACGATAAAATTGAAAATTATTTTCATTTTGAAAGCACATCAAATGTCCAGAAAATTCTCATTCAGTCTTGTGGTAAACAAACAAAAAAATGTACAGTAGCTAAAAGTTTGAGGATAGTTTCAATATTATCCCTAAGTTAATGGAACCAGGAATCTATAATGATAGAACATGAAAGTTTGCTTGAATTACAGGTCGATGTATCGTAGTGTATGGATTCTGAGCTGACTAGATATCATAGGAGATATGCTGCACAGTGTATCCAAAAGTGATTTAGAGAGGATACTTGACCTACCGCCTTTAGTTAAATGTGTCCGGTAAAACTAATATGAACAAAGTAAACATCGAAGGCTTATTAATCTTCTTGTTTTTGGGATCAATTTACCATCACAGTCTGTCAGCTAGAGCGTACAGTCCATACTTTTCTATCATTAATAAAATAACACTGACCCCGTAATCACTTGTACATTCGTATAATAATATTATGAAAACTCTCTTCTTATTAAGTTAACTGGGTACTATGTTCATTCAGGCTAAACTTTAGTTCATTAACTGTCTTCACACGAACGTATATCAAATGTTGAAGGTTTTTAGTTCAACAGAATTGGAAGGTGACATTATTGGAACTCTTTAAGCAGGATGTTGAGATGATAATGATAGGGAGGAGTTAGGAATTCGACTTTAAAACCCATACTAACCTCGTTCAATTTTTATGAAATATTGGTTATGAGAGTTAAGTCAGCTTTCATGTTATGACAATTACAAAATAAGTGTATGACAGGAGACTCCTTCGTAATTCAGATTATTTATCTCGAAGGTTTATGTGCACAACTTCAGACACTTGAAGCATACATGACCGGAGTCAGGTTAATGGGGTCAGATTTAAACAACACTAACGGTAAATAATTAGGTTAGCACTGAAAAAAGAGGGATCCGTATTGTGATTGAAAACAGACAATAAGAAGCATTACTTCCAGATTTAGTGCTAGTCGACACTTTTCGGTGTGGCGTATCAGTAGTTTCGACTTTTCTGTGCCAGAACGTTTAGGGGTTTTGCCCGATTGTTTACAATTGCCTAGTATCAAGATAAAGTTATCGAATCGAAAGAGTCAGCTCTAAACAAAAACATAACATTGCTTACTAAGTAGATATTTAGGCTGAGAAGGCTTATCAAAAGCGTTCCGATGGTATACCGATAATTGTTGATTTCAAGAAGGTAAAACTGCCTCACGAAAAACCGAAAGTATCGGGACACATTGTCACTAGAAAATCTGTATGCAGGCAAGATGGTAATTCAGAGAACTGTGGGCAAATGTAATACACGAAAACACATTAAATTAGTGTGATATATCTAGGCCCAAATTTAGTGAAAGTGATTGTTTAATTTTAGTTTAAGTTTTGTTGCATTCGTTATTCAACACTGATAGTGACCATATACCATTTCTAAAGTTGAAGCTGTTACAGATCGACTTAACTCGGAATCGCATGGCAAAGCAACATAAAAATCATATTCGTCTCAAACACACACTACTTAACTTAGAAGACTCAATATTCTGAATCAAACTGTTATATTTACGCAAAATTCTTAGTATTTGGATAGAGTTCAGGAAAACATCCAATTAAGATGGTAGATAAAAGCTATAAAAATAGACAGCCGTTGCAAAACTACGAACACCAACAACTAGGGGAAATGCAAAATACTGTAAACTTCCACTAACGTTTGATCGAAAGCCCTATTCTAATGAGCACAGTCAAGTTAGGAAAATAAAAGTTACCATAAGTCAATGTAAGTATCATAAAGTAAGTTTTGAAAGGTAATCAAATTCAAGAACTTACTTCTTGTGAACTTACAACAAATCTGACACTGACAGGTCTAATGAGAACTGGGGAATGAATAATGGAAAAATTATCGCTGAAGGACCCGTTAGTCTTTGGTATTATCGGTAAAGGAAATTCTAAAAAGGTACAAAGGTGTGATCAAGATTAGCGACGTTCGGACCGTCAGGACACCTGAGGTACATTTGTTGCTTAAGTCACTAACGTAAATGATTATCGGCAACGATTGATGCTACAATACAAATGTCAACGAACGAGCTTAGTGGTCCAGTAGTGAAATCATTTTTCCGATTTATTACTTCAGACCTATTCTATTGTTCACGTAACTGATCTAATCTGTTGCGTAGTCATTTCCCTGTTTTTGTTTTCTCTCTTGGGTAGAGCTGCATACGCCCGTGAAAGGATGATGCTGAAGGGAGTTAATTGGAAACTTAGGAATACAGTCATTACTATTTATTATTAAAAAGGAGGTCATTTTTCTTGGCTTATCAACATTTAGGCCACTGTTGTGACATACAGGTTAGGCATAATGGTAAAATCTGATTGGTGGTTATAGATATTTATGTGATGCACTAACATTGTGAATATGGGTTCAATCAATACTTGTATTGAACAAAGTTTAACATATGCATATGAATTTGGTGGGTAACTGGCCCATATATATATATATATATATATATATATATATATATATATATATACATGAAGCATATAACGCGAACAACTTGAGACATTTGCCAACTTTAGGGGAATTCACTAACTGTATAACAGGTATCAGAAGAATAACCAATAAAAAAGCAAGCAATAATGAAACCTCTCTCTTTTAATACAACGCTATTTTCATGAAAAAAGTAATATATATCTCACAGGTACATGTATCTTTATTTAAAGTTAGGAACAACACTCATAAATTCGTGTATAATTGTAACGACAATGAATGTATTAAATTACTTTACATCAGCAGATAGTTATTGCTGCTATTTTCGGTGATGCTGTTGATGTACAATTGGGCAGCTACTATTGACTGATGTAATAACAGATGATTCTTTATAAAGTGTCTGTACGTCTGCATGCATCGCACAGCTCATATTTGAAGATGACGACGAAGACGACGAGGAGGAACATATTCCAGAAGTTAACAAACAAGATGAAGATAAGTTGGTGTGGAAAGTAGTAGTAATAGGTTTTGTGAAGATTAGATTCTGTTTGTCTTTATAATGATAAGTTGCATGAGCATAAATTTCAGGGTAACTTGCAAAGTCTGTTGTGAATGAAGTTATGGATGGGATGGCTGGTGCACAAAATCTATAAGTCTGTAAAAAAGTATTATTAATACCATTATTATCATGATTTACTGAAGCAGAGTGGATAAGTATGTTACCGCGTGTATTTGTCGAGGTATTAGTAAACAATTGACATATATTGCATGTTGGCAACAGAGATGACATCTAGAAATAATAAGAATCAATTTTATGGAAGTATTTCTCTCATCAATAATATGATCACAATATAGAAAGTTGATTATTGGTTCATTGCCTACAAACATATTTTGGTGTGTGAATCTCTAAATTTCAATCTGTATTGGCTTGTGCTTATCCCTAAAACATATGTGTCAAATGGTTCAAATGGTTGTGGACGGAATAGAAGAAGCTTTCGCTTAACAGGCTTCCGTGTCTAGTAGCAGGGGATCACCAAATCCTCCAGGCAGGAACCTAGGTATGTTAACAATAAAAGAGGAAAAGAAATTGGTAAATCATAGTGCGATGCTGTCCTTGGTCCTTAAGAATAGGTCAAGTTGCCTCTTGAAGGACTCCTGAGAAGTCGCTTGGACTAACTCGGCCGGCAGCGAGTTCCAGCTTTTGACAACTCTTAAGGAGTAGAAGTTGTGTCTACATTCCGTCTTGCTATGTTGTGTTTCCAGTTTCTGGGTGTTACCCCTTAGATTATTGTTCGAACTAAGCTTAAGTAGGTGTTTAAGAGGATGTCCAGAAGTGTTAAGAAGACTATAAGCCATTAATAAATCACCTCTAAGACGCCTATATTCTAGTGGGTAAAGGTCTAGTGAACGGAGGCGTTCTTCGTAAGGCTTAGATTTGAGTCCTCGAACTGATTTCGTGGCTCGCCGTTGGATACACTCCAAAGTGACCTTATCCTTTTGGAGTGAGGGGGGGAGTATTATGTTTCCGTACTCTAAATGGGGACGGATGAAACTATTGAAGATTGTGTGGAAAATTCTTCCGTCAAACTGACCAAAAATGCGCCTCAACGTGTCGAAGGCTACTCATTATTTTATAATTCTGTTTGCATAACGGATACATGTCTTTGTATTTTTTCACGTCAGAATCCATGCATCGAACAAATAAATACATTGTAAAGGAGTTCAGATCCCTCAATATGTGTCTGGCATAAGTACTTTACTGAACTTTCAAGTTATGACGATTATGAATTCCTGAGTCAAAACATAACGTTGAGTGAAGTATATTTCATTATTACAGAAATATAAAGAATTAAATGAACTCTTAAAAACTAAATCCAGCTTAGTTTCACAACTTTGCTGGTAAAAAATTGTCAATTGTACATGTGATGCCTTATGTGTTTGTATCAGTTGAATCCAGTTGGCGGACTAGTTTGCCGAAAGCATGGTGAGTTCTTGAAATATTTGCTATCTCTGTCATTCAGGCTCCTGTCTCCGTTAAAGATGTAGATGGACACATATACGTCAAAGCCTTGGCGCAGTTTCTGAAGAAGTAAGAAGTATAACATTCCTTGATTGCACTGTAGAACCGGTAAGGTAAGGCTACCTGATTGGACGGACGTGGTGAAACTATCATCTGCCAACCAGTTAGCACCATATAACCCTGACTGGTTTTATATTCGATGTGCCGCTATCCTTCGGCATTTATACATCAGGCCAACTGGCTTGACAGGCTTAAGCAAAGCATTCTCTAGAAAGAAGCGCAATGGCGTCAAACCATCCCATCGTTCCCTAGCACATTGCTCAGTTATAAGGAAAGCTATTCAACAAATGGAGGCACTCGGAATGTGTCAGAAACGTGAAAATGGGTAAGCTAAAACTATCATACATGTGCTCTTGAAATGGAATAAACCATCGTGAGGTTAGAGGTATAAATAAACACCCAGTTCAATTTATTCAACTGGCATTAAGGGTGTTGAATAGTAGCCCGTCCTAATTGCTTCTGCTGCTGTATGTGCGGTAGCACCGGTCATGTAAATTTCGAAGCATTGCAGTCCCAGTGATACATTTTAAAAAATGGCGCTGACTAAATTATACCCGTGGTAGATTTTGATAACATCCTCATGTAAATTTGGAATGCTTGTCAATATATGCGCTTTTGTTAGCTTCAGCATTTGTGTAAGCGTCTATCTTTTGACACTGAAAGCACGCAATGTGAAAATAGGCAATTTTTATGTACTGGAAATGCGTGGTCCTGATGAACTCGGCTAAATTGAATAGGCTATTTTCAATTAGGCTGTCGACTTGCAAGATTTTAAATCCACGAGCCTGTCGAAATAACTACTGCGTGATCTGCTTCGGTAAAATAAGTACTTCCTGTAAGTTGATATACGTTTGTGCGTCCTGTTTTTTTAAGTGATTAAACCCTGATTGATTAACATTTAAAATTAGGAATAACTCTTCACACTTTTATTTCAGCGGGAGGTCTCTTACATCGACTGGAAGGCGCGATTTGGACCGCCTGGCATATCAAATTCTGAAGGAGCGTCATTAATCCATGAAATATAATGTTATGGTTTAATAATGTTTTCTTTAAGACGATTCGTCATGTAAGACAATATCAATGTAGATGTCACAAGATGATGTTTTTTCAACATTTGAGTTGTGCTTACATAATAGGTTAGCTTACACGCCGCAAAATGTTGCCTGTTATCTAGATATGCAGCAAATTGATCAATTTGTGCGAAGCTGGATATAATGCTCGGTCAGCCTGCATTCGAGAATAGGACACGTGGTTTACGTAATTCCCCAGTCCTAATCATTCGTCATTACGTCTTATAGAAAACCTAGGGAATGTGTTTTATAAGCTGTTGTAACAGGTTTGTTAAATGATATACAAGGTGGTACGACAAGTTACTTCGTTGTAATTTGAATTCGTACCCACGTTGATTTTTATCTCGGATTATCAGATACAAATAGGACGACCATCTACTACAGGCAATCACTATCCTGATTTGAAGTCTTGAGCTATTTCAGCGGGACTAACATCGCAGACTCTATGGAAATGTACAACCAAAGTAAACCTGATACGTGAAGCAGTCGATACGCTTGTTGAGTGAATAAAGGTGTCTGAAAAAAATAGTAAGCTGGGTTGTAATAGGAGAAATCATAACACTACTTCATTGATGTAGATCGACCGCAAGCTGTTGATAACACGTTTATTGCCTAACAGTTAGGTTGCTTATCATAGCATATGACCTATATGAAGTGAGTAAAAGAAGAGGCCTATACGTCGAAGGACATGGTCCATTTTTACAGTCTGGTTTCCCATTCTGCCCTCACACCCCAAGCTGGAGACTTTTGTAAAAGTAGTATGAATTGTTGTTTGCCAGAAAACAGCAGTGGAGCGTAGCTGATATTTTGCCTAAACAAACGGGGCCAGGGTAAATGTATAGAGAGTTTTGATACAGAAAGTAGCTACCTTAAGGCAAAAAGCCATAATCTTAGCTGCGGGATGGATTTTCAATACGAAGGTACTGAGTAGTTCGCACTTTTTGACCGACACTGGTCGATATTGACTTTGTATTAAATAAAGACACTAAACATTACGGTAGATCGTGATGGATGTAGACCTTCTCTGGAGTAATGAAGCTTGAAATGATGTGCCAGAACAGTGATGATCAAGTTACACCTAAATTACGTAAATGACTCTGGCGAGACCTCACCATGCACATTTGGTTGCAGTCAATTTTGTCGACTGTTCCATGTCTACAGTTTCAAAATCTCACTTGTCACGTCCACACACATTCACTAATATAAAGCTGGAATCTGACACGGTCCGTTGAGAAATATTTGGACACAAGATCTAACGTGCTTCAAACACCATCCGCGTCAGACTAGTTCTAAATTTCCTACTTAGTGTAGTGTGATGTCGGTCAAATTCAGAAGTTGTTTTTATACTTTCAACCGAGCTTGTTTCATGAAAGCGTGCGAAACTTGTACTTGTTGACTGTACCGGACAGTCGAGGATGTCGGGCTTGTATTTGCGAACCGTCAACTCTAGTGTTGTAATTCGAACGACGGCGTATACCGCTTAGTGAAGATAAAACCTAGCCGTTCTCACTGGAAGCCTATAAAACCCAACGATTATCTTCCTATTTCAAATTTCTGGTTCGTAGTTACGTGCTTCAAGTTTTTAGGAACAGAAGGCAGTAATTAACTGGTTTATAACATTTCCTGTGTCTAGTGATTAGCATATAACCTATAAAGTGTTTGGAAGACAGTTTCAAGTGTGAGAATACAGTCTGAATGCTACATTTCCAAGTGTTGACGATCAGGTTTGGTTATATGGCATATTAAGTACGCGTCCTATGAAACACATGTAGTCGGCCAGAATGTTTTCTTAATTGTTGTCCATTTGAAGCGTCCGAGTCGAATGACTCACGTCTGGCAGGCGTGCTTTTATTAATAAACGTACTGCACACAACTACGCTTACCGCAAATAAGTTAACGACTGGAGGGTTTTCAATTTGATTTTCTAGCTCTAGTGCTTGTACTGATGCTGCCTATGATGATAGTGGTAGTTTTGTTTGATTAACATATAAAAAGTCTATGTGCATAGTGAAGTCGTCTTTTATATACAGCAAAGCTTTACGGAAACAAGAATGATGAATGCAGCAAACAAATTGAAAGGGTTAGAAGTGTATATGGATTTGAATTCAGAAGGCTTTCGTTGACTGTGTGTATAAGTTCATATAGGTGTATCGTGACTGCGCACTAGACTGCAATTCTTGATATAACGCATTAGCATCTAGTAAAAAAAGAGAAAGTAGTTCAACGCTTATATAAAGTGATATGACAGGAAGAAAAGTCAGAATTAGATTGATTTACTCATTATGATTTTTATTCAACATTAATTCTGTTTTAATTCAATGTAACGATTATTCAGTATAGTATTTGTTTCTATTTTGTATAATATACAATGTTCTTGTATTCTAATGCACATGTACTATTCTCAGCATATGATTTGTTATAACTCTGGTTATTTTTTATATATGTGGTTCTATTCTAATTATTAATCAAAAAAGGGTATATGAATCAATATATAAATGAGTGTATTTTTGCCTAGGGTAGTCGTGTTTTGGGGGTTAATAAATCTTCACTTATACCAGTCTTTGTGTTATTATTTTGGCGTTGGGGGAATCGCAGTGGTTCCTCGCTTTACAAGTATAAGTGACAAGCGATTCCGACATAAAAATCAGCGACGACCAGATATAACAAGTGGCGTTCAATCGACAAGACATATCAGAAAGTAAAGTTTGTCAATAATTAGGGAGTTTTCTCATCGTGTTCGCAAGGCTGATATCATGGGTTTGCTCATACAGTAGACAAAAGATTTTATATACAAGATGTAGGTGTTTAAAAAGGTATCATCAGGTGAGTCGGTTTGTATATTTATGTTTTTACTGAACGACTGATTGATATTTATTTTAACCTGTAAAAAATATCAAACTGGTTATGTACATAACGCGATTTTGTATTGTATTGTGATCTGGTACTCTAGGATACATGATGAGTCTAAAAATACAAAATGTAATTGACCGAACTTCTCGACCTCCTAGTATCTAGACTGGGTGTAGCTGGAAACGTAGAATTAGCGTTGGACTACCACTTGTGATAGGTACTGTACCTGACACAAAGTCGCAAATATTGGCGCTATGGTTGGGAAGTTTAACATGCACCTAGCTAATTTGATGATTTCCGCAATAAATGTCCTACCCACATCGTGTCTTTCCTTAATTTCCTCTTTAGTTGGAAGAAGGTCCTCCTATCTACACTGTCAGATGCTTCCTCATAATCAAAGAACTTGATGTATAGTGACGAGTTTCACTCAGTTGATTGTTCAACGATGATCCATAGTGTCGTGACTTGGTCTGTGCAAGACTGATCCTTACGGATCTGTTTACTTTGGTATCTTGACGAGACATTCTTTTTCCTAGTCCATCGGCACTAGGGAAAAATTTATAATTGGTTAACGAATTCGTGAATCTTCATATACTGAGGTGGTTGGTACATGTTCGATGAAGACTTTATCCCATTTACCTCGATGCGTGATTTCCGCTGGTATGAAACTTAACTGCCGATAAGCTAAGAAGTTTCGTCAGTTCATGGATTTATTGATCGTTGGACTGAGCCGAGTAGGTATATATATATATATATATATATATATATATATATATATATATATATAATTTTCACTAACAAAATGCAAAGAAATCGAATAAACGAGCTTACTGCCTTCTAATTTGTTCTCGGACCTTCCACCACTGATCATCAACCTTAAATTATTAACACCTGAGTCATCAGGTGATGAAATATCTTGGTTTAATTGTGAGTACGGTTCGTAGAAATGATGGTCAGGACTCGTGTCGTGAAGATGATCGTGCCCATCATATGCACTAGAACTGCACATGCTGCATATGTTGCCACCACCAGTGGATGCACCATCCGAAGCGCCAGCCGGATCACATCGCAGTTCACAACCATAGGAAGAAGGATTACTAAAAAACAAATAGTTCAATCAAGTGAAAGTTTTGTGGTAATGTCATATAATTTGGTGTTTCACACTTGGCAATGAAGACAATTAGTTGACCAAGAAACCATTTCTTACTACAAAGAATTGATTGTCTATTAAAATTAAACCCAACGAATTATTATTATTTATTTGAACACATAAATATTGGTACAAGAGGGCACCAAATATATATGCGCCACACAAAACAACGAGGATTTGAAGAGAAGGAATAAAGGTAAGGAGCGTTAAAAAAGAACGATAACGAACAGATTAGTGTAAGATAGTGTAATAATAATAATAATAATGGGAGAGACAGAAACGTACAATCAGAAGAGATCTTTCAGTTAAGGAAGAAGCAACCCCTTTTTATGAAGGAAGTAGAAGAAGGTTACAGGATCGCCACTGGCTTCTATTCTGAGCCATATCTGATAACGTCTCTACTCGAGAACGTTTAGATAGAGCCGAAATTCCACCATAGGCGAGCTGCTGTATACGTCGAAAAATAAGGATAGACAAAGTGGGAATAAATGACGTAGTAAATAATAATAATGTGAATCGTTTGATTGTTAACTGAAGCAAGAAAAGTAGTTTCCATAATTATAGGCAGTTCATCATATTTGTGTGTGGGCTGTGATACTGCCCGGGTGCCCAAACCGAAGCAGATGGTTTTCTTAGGGGGCCACAACCCGATCTTTTGACCTAAAGGTCTAACCCACAAGGCAGTGGAGCATCTTGAGGAGATGCAGTCCCATGGTAGCCGGTGACCAACGATTGGTTCATACGCCATTTGTTCCCTCAGGATACTGGAGCCCATGTGCACCATTGGTTTGTGATCCGGTTAAAGCGCTGGACACTCGGTTTTCGTCCTCTCATTTTCGTAAACAACACCCCCGCCACGAGAAGGCAATGAGTAGGACTTCCCTGGCAGAGGCTGTATACGCGTGGCCGTGTGAGAGCATTTCGGGCTCTCCCCGCTCTCGGCCATACTAGGGCATTTGGGGGCAAAAAACCCAACGAACGGAAAAAACTGAACCAATAAGGTGAGCTTCACATTGGATGCCTTCAATCAATTCCGAAAATAATTTATGCCAAGTCGTTAATGGTATATCAGAGTTGTCATATCTTTTGATGTCGTTAGCTACGGAGAATCAATTTTCGAATGGATTTCATACGTACAACAGAAAGTTGTTTCTGTTGGAGACAAACTCAAGGTACAGATTTTAAAATGAACACTTATGGATTCTGGTTCTGGCAAATTCAGCTGACAGGTTTCAAAATTAAATAACAAATGAGTCCATTACTTCAATGCCAGTTACCGGCCTTTACTATGAGGGAAATCAATTTAGGCAAAACATGTCACGATTTGGACATTAGCAACAGCATACCAACGCATCAAGCGTTTGATGGGTTATATATTCTTCTATCTTTATTATTGATCGTCGTCCGTTTTTGGTGTAGGAATATAGTTACGTCCTAGTCAGGCTAATCACGTGTTCTTGATCTGAATTGTGTTGAAGTCCTGTAGAATAGACACCGGGAGAGAATCTAGTGTAAATATTTGTCTAAGGCAAACTAACGTCCCATTCGTATAGAAAAAGGAAACCGAGCGTTATAACGAAGCGAATAAGATAACAACAGAATAAGAATATTCTAATAACGGCAATCAGTACCAACATATAAATCACGAAACCCTAATTGTAAAGAATTCCTACTGAGAATAACGTGTGCAACCGATTAAGATAAAACTCGTGAGAGTAAATATAAATTCAGGAATCAACATTTTACAAAATAAAATAATTATTATAGAAACACTGATGATTACTTGTAAATATTGCTTCCAATCGCGTGGATTGCCGAATCGCATAATTTATCAGCTTGCTGACCACGAGCGGCTTTTAAATATCCCCACGTATCACACAACTGGCGTGAAAATTGTGTTTGAAGGAATGCAAAGTGAGCTCTTTCCTCCTGTAACTGATTTGTTAAGAAACTGCGTTGAGAATAAGGAGGATTTGATTCGAATAGATAGACATTCTCATCTTCATTACGTTCACTTGTTCGAGATAACAATTCACGAGGTGCTATATTCCACAAAAGATCATTATTTCCAGATGAAACGTCAAGACTAGCAGCACGGCGAAGATATTCATTTGTTGTAGGAGAGTGAAATTGATAATATAATAGTGGATTCGGATAAACTTCCTTAGGATATTTGCGACCTAAAAAATAATTGTAGCGAACTTCATTACTAAAATGATGAACTCAAATTATCACGTAGCTTTGACACATGAAATAAGCAGAAATCATTAGTTTAACTGTGATAGTAAACCAAAACTCTGATTCTTGTTACAAAACAAAACAGATTAGAGTGATACAAGCAAAAGCAATAAAGTGGAAAAAACAGTGATAACAAATTTAAAAAAAAACACACCAGATTTTAAACGAACAGACAGACACCACTAATCACATACCAAACACAAACGTTTGAACTTCCATGAGCTATTAATACCTGGAGATAGAATGAAAGTCTGCAGTTGAGATAAGATCAATTTATTACATAAGTTACATAAAATTTAGTGAGCAAATAGAATCGTGCGAACCTAAAATGTGACTCACTTGTTGTACTAAAGTGCATAATTAAATTTTTCTAACATTTATGCTAAAGTTTTTCAAATTAAAAGTTACAAGAACCTACATAAAGATATGTACTAAACACATTAATACTTCGGTAGTTAATGATACTTTTTAATGACTGAATACGTTTAAACGGATCCAAATGGTTTGAGTTTAAAGTGAAACAATAAAGACATGACAAAATGCTATTGCAAAGATCAAAAAGTTACCTGTCTGAAAGTCATGGTATTTCGAATGAACGTTTGTGGAACAAGGTGGATATTGAAAGGAACAGCCACGATCAGTAGGACGGGATAAAAAGTGCTTGTTCGTCAAATTAAACTCCTCTGTAGACGCTAATCCACAGTCGTTTTCTGAGTAGGGTATTTGCATGTAACTTGTCGAACGTTCTATTACGGGAATATGAACTGAGTCAGATGATATAGGGCTTTTCGGCTGCGATTGCTGTCGCTGTAAGCCACGACTAGGCTGTGGACGATGGGAAATTCGACGATGCAAACGTTGAGTAACAATAGGAGAAAGTATTGCAGCCAGAGATGGACTCGAATACATATATTGGCTGCGATCTACAGGATCGTGTGGAACGAACTGAACATGACAGTTTGGTGAACAGTACTGTGGGTGTCTCAGAACATTCGTTGGCACAGTATAAGAAACCTCACGAATAATTGTTTGAGGTGGAGAGTGTATGTGACAGACTGTCGGTGGTTGGTGTTCAGTTGACATTACTGCACAAGAACACGGATTATGATTACAATGAGAGACATCTGTTGGTCTGGTACGAGATTTTGAATTTAAAACTTCATCATTGTGAAGAGCAGGCAAGCTACCTGGGACAATAACAAACGGAGAGAAGGAGGTTTCCGGTTCTTTGGAAATGGAATCCCCGACAGATACTACTGGTATTTCACCAGTTAGACAATGATTTCCAGACAATAAAGATTTAATGGCGATGCCACAGAAAGTACCATCAGAATACACTGGACCAAGATTGGTAACCAAATAAGATGGATACAAAACCACCTAGGTTAGTTAGAAAAAACACAACATCAAATACAGTTTGAACAGATATGTAAAGTAATGAGATACCATAGCGTAAAAGTAACTACTTGTTAGCATACGTAGATTGGAATAAAGCATGTTCCGTGCATGATTATGTTGAAGCACATTGAGAGACCATTTATTAACCGACAAATATAAATAGAAGACTCAAGAAAATTTCTGTGTAAAATAATATACACATACTAACGTTTTGTTTTGTTTTCTTACTACCATTCTATCTCAGTCAGTCAGTAACAACGTAGAACTTCGTACGTACGTACATCAGTTCAAGCTGCCACACCACATTAGCACAGAAATGCAGTGGTCGACGCAAATCCCGTAGTGCTAGATGTAGTAAAATTATAAGCTGTAATCAGAAAAATTAGGGTTTGAAGATGTTATTCAATGAGTATAATCCAGTGAAATAAATTTGGAAAGAGAAAAAAGAAAGGGACATGAAGAATTCAGAAGATTAGAATTTGAGAGAACACAAAGAGTAGATGCACCTGCGCCATTGCAAACGATTTTGAGCCATATCATTCAGGGTCTTCAACCATCGGTTACTATCATCTCGCGGTCCCCAACCAGGTAGTCTACACCTACCAATATGACTCAGTCTACTTGTCAGTGACTTCATAGATTTGTGCCATGTTTTGGTCTGGCCGCCCCTAGCTTTCTTCCAATCTACTCCTATACAACAAAACATCGCACATCGAGGCAGTCGATGGTTGGGCATACGTAACACGTGTCCCAGCCATCTCAACTGATGAAGTTTCACTACGTCATCAATTGATTTACTATCCTTACCTAGTACCCGTTTCCTAACAACTGCATTACTTACTCGATGGTCCCACGATATACGAGCAATATTTCGAAGACACCTATGATCAAATACTAGTAACCTACGGATATCCTATACCCTTACCGGCAATGTTTCACTGCCATAAAGTAGGACGGAACGAACTGCTGCACAGTAAATACGTCCTTTGGTTGGTAGACGGATATCTCACCTACGCCATAAATGACGCAAGTTGGTAAAAGCTAGTCGAGCCTTCTGTATACGTGCTGAGATTTCGTCACACACCAGACCACAAGGGCTGATGAGACTTCCAAGATAAGTGAAGCAGTCGATACGCTTGTTGAGTGAATAAAGGTGTCCGAAAAAATAGTAAGCTGGGTTGTAATAGGAGAAATCATAACACTACTTCATTGATGTAGATCGACCGCAAGCTGTTGATAACACGTTTATTGCCTAACAGTTAGGTTGCTTATCATAGCATATGACCTATATGAAGTGAGTAAAAGAAGAGGCCTATACGTCGAAGGACATGGTCCATTTTTACAGTCTGGTTTCCCATTCTGCCCTCACACCCCAAGCTGGAGACTTTTGTAAAAGTAGTATGAATTGTTGTTTGCCAGAAAACAGCAGTGGAGCGTAGCTGATATTTTGCCTAAACAAACGGGGCCAGGGTAAATGTATAGAGAGTTTTGATACAGAAAGTAGCTACCTTAAGGCAAAAAGCCATAATCTTAGCTGCGGGATGGATTTTCAATACGAAGGTACTGAGTAGTTCGCACTTTTTGACCGACACTGGTCGATATTGACTTTGTATTAAATAAAGACACTAAACATTACGGTAGATCGTGATGGATGTAGACCTTCTCTGGAGTAATGAAGCTTGAAATGATGTGCCAGAACAGTGATGATCAAGTTACACCTAAATTACGTAAATGACTCTGGCGAGACCTCACCATGCACATTTGGTTGCAGTCAATTTTGTCGACTGTTCCATGTCTACAGTTTCAAAATCTCACTTGTCACGTCCACACACATTCACTAATATAAAGCTGGAATCTGACACGGTCCGTTGAGAAATATTTGGACACAAGATCTAACGTGCTTCAAACACCATCCGCGTCAGACTAGTTCTAAATTTCCTACTTAGTGTAGTGTGATGTCGGTCAAATTCAGAAGATATGAACATTTTTAAAAATATCTCAAAAGTCGTTCGTGATTTATATTATCTCATGGACAATGTACATCTACTTTTGCTTAGAAAATTGATATTTTGGTAATGCCCAAAATATCAATTGATTTATGTAAAATGAATTTGAAGTGCATAAGTACTGTGTAGACTAACCTTTTTGTTCGAATGAGTCTTATAAACAGAATGTTCGCTATGTAGATCTACTGGACAGCTAGTTGACTCAAACGGCCACATGGATGACTGCAGGTAATAATCTGCACCCCGATCGAGTATCACTTCTGTGCGTTTAACGTGAGGTGTTACAGGAACAGATACTGAACCCGGAGCAAATCGATGGTCAGTATACTTAGAACAGACAGGGAAGGAATTTGCTGGAATGTTTGGATATAGAGGGTCAGTATAAACCAAATTATTTTGGTCTGTCTGAATGCCATCATCACAAGATTTTCCATGATGTACTGGGTATCCATCCAAATTGGTTACTGGTGGATAGAAACTATAGTCATCAAAGTAGTTGCCACATCGGTCACCATTCATATCACTAGTAGTTTTATCATTATCTACAGTGGGATTAGAAATAGATTTCTGGTCATCATCATCGTCATTCAACGTTCGGGATATATGCATACCATCCATTTCATCGTCTTTTTGATTTTCTTTCCTCGTGGGACTGAAAGCAACTTTACAGTTGTATTGAGTGGATATACATTGAGAAGTATGAGTGGAGGTCGAATTGGCTACATAGGTATCGATCAAACGATTATGGTTATCAGAGGTGTAAGGGTTTTGGCGCTTTTGCTGATGTATTAGTGCCTCTTCAAGTTGAGCACACCGAGCCTCTAAAACTGATTTAGCTTCTAAAGCCTCAGCTTTTTCTGCACGTGCTTTTGCCAGTCGTGCTCTTTCAACCTAATTTCAAAGGAAACTCGGTAGATAATAAATTGGAAATATATAATAAACGATTCGAAAAAATTCGAAGTTTCAGTTGCATAAATGTAAACAATGGATGCGCATACATGTGGATAAATAAATTTAACAGGGCGTCAAGCAAACATGATTTGTTTCAAGCTTACACTGCGAAAAAGTAAAATGCAGAAGGATAATACAGAGACATAAGGAAAATAGTTAATTCAGTAAAGAAAAAATACTGAGATTGTAGAAAATAACATATCAATTGAAATAATCTGAAAAGATACTAAAATGGTAGGTTACCTCTCGTCTGGCTCTCTCTTCTCTTGCTTGTGCTCTCATTTGCTGGACCTCAATGCTATCCGGCTGACGACGTCTCATGAACAGTGAGTGGTTACCAGCACACATAGACATAACTGTTTTAGCTTGGTTTGGGTCTGCCAACCAAACTTCAACAACACTGATTAATACAGTCTCAGAATTCAGATTAGACGATTTAAGCAAACTTTTCGACGGCAGCGAGACATTGTTTTCCGCAGACTGAACCCTAGGGCCACGAAGACAATTCACACTAGTCCTAGTAACTGCGAATTCATTAGCAGAGTAACGAGAGGATTTGATTGATAAACCAGGAATGCAGCGTGAACCTAGTTCAAGAACTAAACAAGGAACCATATATTATATTAAAATTTAAAGAATCAAGCAGCAGATTTTTCCAGTGAATATTCGTTTAGATTGTACGTACAATTAAATAATAACTACATCAGAAGTGCACAAATTATTTATAATTCTTAAATCCAGAGAACGACAATGAACAATAATAATCCATTTACTCAATACCACAAATTGTGGTGCAGCAAAAAAATCTACAGCATCAGCTGTGCAATATTCTAAGATTCATTCCATTTGTAACTATTCAAAACACCTTTTTTATAAATGTTTCCTAACATTTAGTATTGATCATCAAAGTTTAGCTGCCACGACTACTTTTCAACCCATCATATATATAGTGCTTGAATTCAAATATATTTGCCTCTCGTTTTGTAAAAGCATAGATAAAAAAGAAAATACGCCAAGAACATTAGGACTCATGTTAGAGTTTTCCAGTAATATGTACTGAAAATATTTTGTAAGCCATTAATAAAGCGCGAATACATAAACCTAGCATTCATAATCATCAAATCTAAAACGTCTGGAAAATAGAAATATGTATCAATTTGTTTCAATGTACTTTTTTTGCTGATTTCAATCAATTTTTACTAATTTCCAAAACCTTTTGTGTACAAAATTTACGTAAATGATACGTATAACTGAACACAAAATTATGCGAAAAAAGTTATACTATTAAAATATATTATAACATTTGCTTCTTCATTCTTCCTTCATATATCAGTACGAATCGTTAGTACACAATTTATCCCAAAAGTCCGATGGAACGAGAGAAGAATTTCTGGATTGTAAGTCTTACTAGTAGTTATTGTTCATTATTTTAAAATCAAATTATACTGTAGTTAAAGAATGTGAAAAGTATGCAAGGGTTTTAGACATAAACGAAAAAGACAGCAAATTGTAAACTGTAAAACGTCAGGTAATCACAGAATAGAAGCTGACACGTAAGTACACAGATATAAAATTGTCAAGCCAAAACTAATAGAGGAGTTAATAAAGGTATGAGTGATGATTGAGAAGCTTAGATATCGAAGATACGATAAACGAAAATATAAATTGGAGTAATTTTAAACCACGAGGAAATCAGAAGCTTGAAATCTTTGAGACACAAGGAATGGGAACACCTGCGCCATTACAAAAGATTTTCTCACGGAGATGGTAATCTGTGTGGTAAGGTGAGGTGTGAAATTCTCAGGGCCAACCTCTTATAACCACTTCCATCCGTTGAGAGAGGGCACCATCTCTGCAGATGATAGTTGTCCGAGGGAAACACCTTGCTGCTATCACAACCCCCTGCACTCACCAGTACGACTTCACCCTTCAGACCGTAAGTTGCAGCTTTAAGTCTTACCGGTCTCCAATCGACCTGCCTGGCATGTTAGGACCTAAAGGAACATATGTCTCAGCCAATTAAGCTCGGGTGAGTCATCATGATAGGCAAGCCCGACCAACACTTCAAGGTAGCAGCCACCGTTGAGACTACTATTTACACGAAAAGATGACACATTAGTTACTGTCAGTTCAGCTTACCTTTAGCACGACCTTTGAAGCCTTTTGAAGCACCCAGTTGTTGTGCAGTATCGCATGATTCAAACTTGGAAACAGCTCTTGGAGATGAAAGGTTAACAGACGTATCAAGTAAATTAGGAGAAACAAGTGGAACTGAAGGGATAAGACGAGCTGATATTGGAGTGCTAGGTAAGCTTGCGGCAGACGTCCCACTACCTCCTGCACTAGAACCTACAGCAACGCCAACAAAAGCTTGGCCTGTGATACTAATAAGAGGACTACGATTGGGCTGACTTGCTTTTGATGAAATAACAGCTGGTCCTCTGGTTTCGTTCAATAAGGTAGGGACAGATGTATTTTGACTAGGTTTGTTGGTTCCACGACAGGTACTGGTCAACTTGATCGTAAACTAAACGATGATTAAAAAGAAACCAACTTAAAAAGAAGTTTGGGAACACAAACAAGAAAGAGACAATTTCGCCGAGTAAAAATGGAAATTTTATAGTCTTTCATCTGCTGATCTCAAGGATATCACTATTCTCCATTTAGTAGGTTGTTCGCTTTCTGTAGTAAAAATTAGTGACGAAATATCTTCACATCCGCAGAGCTTTATTGATTAGGGAACGGACGAAGACAAACAATTCACTTTGTTTTATACCTGATTATACATGAAACAGAACATAATTCAGTGTGAGCAGAATACAGAAGTCAAAAAACAAATGATCAGAAACATGTGATTAGTTTTGTACTTGCATTATAACCAGTTGTATAAGTGTGAGCTTCTTTAGTAAGATTCGTTATCGCGGTTACTTTTATTGACTCTGACCCTATTTTACATATTTTAATGTACAAGATGTTTGGTACAATTTATACATAAGTTATTTGTACAAATACATGTAAAAGTTTGCGGAAAAATAGGTTTTACTACCAGCTAGTTTTTAAGATGAATAGTCGACCGTTGGGAAACCATAATGCAAAAACTATGAAATAAATCGAAGCAACAGATTATCAGAAAATGTTTCGGATTTGTTGACCGATTTTCGTTTAACTGAATTTTATATTTTAGGTGTGTGTGAGGGCTAGTGAGATTACATAGTCTCCCAAACAGATGACGTGGGGGTTGCATCGGAAACCTATTGCTTGAAAGAATGATTTTTAAACCACAGTAATCACTTCATTTCACAGATAGCAATCCGTTTGCAAACTAAAAGATAAATGTGTCCGGTCTTGAAATGCTTAATATTTGGTAGTTGAAATCGATACAAACAGTAACATTTCTGATTGAATCGTACGAAATGTACTATAATGAGGGTTATATTGGAATAAGTTATATTTTTGATCCGTGGAAATTTTCGCCAAAAGCGGATGGAAATATGAAAAGCAGCCATTAACTTTGAAATTGTAAGCTAGATATTTGATTCATGAGGTACTCGGCAATGAAAATGTACGAAAATAGGTTCATGACAGTCATCAATCATTTACTGAGTCCGAGCTATAAATAACAACACTATTTAGATCCAAAAAATATTTTACTGAGTTTCCTAGATAACATGAGAGATGATATGGTAAAATTATTGGGATAATAAATGTTTGACAACAATATTAAAATATACTGTTATAGCATACTGTGAGGGTAAAAATGGTTGTTGTTTATTCAGCAATTAAGACGTGAATGACCTACAAGGAATGAAATTCTATAGAGCATAATATGGTGGAAATGTTGTGAATTTGGTTGAGCGATACAATTAAGTAAAAAAACAGCTCACTTTGCGTTCGCGATATGAAACATTTTTTATCATATTCCAAGGAAATGTAAATTGAGGTGGATCACGTTGACACTTTCCATACAGTTGAAGACCTGCTGCTGTAACACCAAGCCAAGCATTTGTGTGACATTGATTCTGGTAGAAAGAATGGGAGCAAACAAAATATCATCGTATATGCATAATCACCATCAGTACATGGATTATAAATATTAACTTGGTAATTTATCCCAAAAATAGCAACCAGCTATCCACAGTATTTTGGATGAGCCGCAACTCATCTGCTAAAGAGAACCCAAAAGGATTGTAATAAGATACTTATTGGTATGACTTTTCAATTTGACTGATGGTATACTTAGCCCTGACTACTTCGTTAAATATAATCGACAGACGAAATACTCAGACGCCTTTTCGAAACAAGCTGAACATCATCTGTGAAAACATATGACGTACATAATGGGGTCCTAAAATATTTGAATGGAGTAAAAAATTCAGCAGGTACTTGAGCATGGGCTACACTCTAAGTGTGAGGGTTAGTGATACTACCCGATCGCCCAAACTGTAGTAGTTAAGGTGAGGTCCATACATGGGACTTAATAGTTAGAAGTCGTACGCCTTAACAACTCAGTTACCAAAACCCATCCCCAAAAAACATCTAGATATATGAACAGACACAAACCCTTTAGGCGACCGTTGATATAAATGTAGGTGATTAGTTCACAGTAGAACTCTAAATGGTGCATCTCTAGTTTTATGGCAATGCATGTAAAGGGATTTCAGAAGTCAATTATTGCTGATAAATTGTGCGGGGATGTGAAAATTTAGCTGTGGGGCTGGCTCAACGTGACAGATTGATGTTAGTTGTATTTCCAAGTTTCCAGTTCCATCCTGACCACGATATTAATGAAGCTACATCTACTACAATCACATATGGTGATATTTAGGTGAGACTGAAGCTTTGGGTATTGTTCATATAATTTAACAATGAACCTAAACTGAATGTATATCTGTATAAAACCAGCCAAAGATAGCAAATAAAATACTTGAAAAATTAAATTGATTTTGTTTGTCGCAGGCGGAAACAGGGAAATGGGCTAAATGGTTTGAGACTATAATGAATAGTATCCTGATGCTGGATGGTTGAAATTAAACAACACAAAGGTCTGCAAATGAGTCTCATTAACTACTGTCAACTACTATGAAACATAAAACTAAAAAATTCCAGAGAACGATGTAACACAATTAAAAAATGAGTGAAAACAGATCACTAAGATGCATTTTCAGCCATGCAAATAAACAGTTATTATACGATTCATCAGAATGTATCTTTTGTGTTTATTTAATGACACCTTAAATTATGCACTAACATGCCCCCAAATGCCCTGGTACGGCCGAGAGTCCGCTCTCCCTTTCGTAATGCTCTCACACGGCCACGCGTATACAGCCTCTGCCAGGGAAGTCCTACTCATTGCCTTCTCGTGGCGGGGGTGTTGTTTACGAAAATGAGAGGACGAAAACCGAGTGTCCAGCGCTTTAACCGGATCACAAACCAATGGTGCACATGGGCTCCAGTATCCTGAGGGAACAAATGGCGTATGAACCAATCGTTGGTCACCGGCTACCATGGGACTGCATCTCCTCAAGATGCTCCACTGCCTTGTGGGTTAGACCTTTAGGTCAAAAGATCGGGTTGTGGCCCCCTAAGAAAACCATCTGCTTCGGTTTGGGCACCCGGGCAGTATCACAGCCCACACACAAATGATGAACTCTTTATGTCTATGGAAATTACTTTTCTCGCTTCGAAAAACAATCAATTGATTCAAATTATTATCATTACAATTATTGTCATTATTAATACTATTATTATTATTACTACTATTATTGTTATTATTATTATTACTTATTATTATTATTATTATTATTATTATTATTATTATTATTATTTTCCACATTATTCACCCTCCTTTATACTTATACAGCGACTCGTCTTTGGTGGAAATTCGACTGTATCTAAACGTTCTCGAGTCACTGTCCGGTTGAAAATTGTATGTTACCACCGAATACGAGAACTGAAGCAGTTTTTCTGAAACCACGTGCACCATTCAAACTGGCTGCCTTCAACGTTCACACACTTATGCAGGTTGGACAACAGATAGGGCTGGCTATGTCTTTAGAAAGTCTTAATATCGATGTTTGCTGTCTATCTGAGACCCGTATTCAAGACTCCGGTGAAGTACTACAAATTCGATCTCCATCTGTCGCTTCAAAAAGCTTGTTTTACGTGCGCTTATCCGGGGACCCTGTGGCATCTTCGTCTGGTCTTGCTGGCGTTGATGTCGCACTAAGCGCTAGTGTTGAGGAAGCACTAATCGATTGGATCCCAATTAACAATCGGTTATGTGTTGTTAGATTGGAAAGTTCCATCAAAGGGAGACGAAATCGGAGTGAGAAACGATCTCTTTTCGTCATCTCCGCCTATACTCCGACAGATTGCAGCCCGGATGCAATCAAGGATGAGATTTACCACCAGTTATCAGTTCTTCTCCAGAAAGTGCGTTCGACAGATATTGTAGTACTAGCCGGAGACTTGAATGCTCAGGTCGGGCGTCTAGGCACAGAAGAGAGTCGTTTAGGTGGCCGATGGGGACTCGTTGGTCGCAGGTCAGATAACGGGGACCGTCTACTGCAACTTTGCACAGACCACAACCTGTTTCTGGCTAGCACTAACTTTCGGCACAGTCATCGCCGATGTGCCACCTGGCGTCCTCCCTCTGCATCCCAGGCCTGGACTCAGATTGATCACATCGCGATCAGCTACCGCTGACGTGGTTGCATACAAGACTGAAGCTTCTTTTGGGGTATTTATCTGGACTCTGACCATGCCTTGGTCTGCGCCAATCTTACCTTACTTTTCAGTGGACAACGAAGTGATCGCCACCAACGGATTGATGTTAGCAAGCTGGTTGCAACTTCTGTTGCTAGTAAGTATCGAGCCGAGCTAGCCTCTAGGCTAGCTACCACTCCACCGAAAAGTATAGATGAGCATTGGTTGCAATTGCATGACCCCATGAAAATGGCGGGTACAGTCAGTTGTGGGTTCGCGAAACGTCCCGCTTATAAGCACTGGGTTTCTGCAGGTTCCTTACAACTCATCGAAGCCCGTCAGTCTACTCCGGGTGACCGTGAGTTTGACCACAAAAGAAGGATGTTACGTAAGGAAATTGGACAAAGCTTGCGTAAGGACCGAGAGGCCTGGTGGTCGAAGCGTGTTAATGAGTTGGAAGCAGCAGCTGCATCTCGTAACTACCGGAAGCTCTTCCAACTCATCCGAGCCACTGGCAGCAAGAAGTCTGGTGTGAGTGAAACAATCTGCGAGGATGATGGGATGCCAATCACTAACATCCATCGACGTCTTGGACAATGGGCAGAATTTTTCGAAGGGCAGTTCAACTAGCCTGCTGCTCCGGCAACATCGGTCAGACTGTCCTGCCCTCCATGGCCGGTGACGACTGATCCACCAAATGAGGCGGAAGTCCGCAAGGAACTCCAACTCTTGAAGCGTTACAAATCACCTGACACAGATGACTTACCTCCGGCTCTTTTTAAAGATGGTGGTGACTTCCCGACTAAGGAATTGACGACGTTGTTTACAAAGGTTTGGGAACCAGAGAGTGTGCCAACGTCATGGAATGAGTCGATAGTTGTCCCTATCTTTAAAAAGGGTTCACGTCGTTTTTGTAACAACTATCGGGGGATAAGTCTACTTCCGATTGCGTCCAAGCTATTGGCTTCCGTCATACTTCGTAGGTTTTTCAAAACTCGAGAAAGATTGACTCGCGAGGAGCAGGCTGGGTTTCGTTCTGGTCGAGGATGTATTGATCATATCTTCACCCTCCGCCAAATGTTAGAACACCGCCATACTTATCAAAGGCCAACAATCGTAGTGTTTCTTGACATCAGGGCTGCCTTCGATTCGTTGGACAGGACTGCTCTCTAGGATTGTCTATTGAAGAAGGGTGTACCTGAGAAGTTTATTAACATCCTAAAAGCTATATAAACAAACACCTCAGGCAGAGTGAGGGCATACAACCACCTCTCTCCATTGTTCCATTCGAGCAGTGGGGTTAGGCAGGGTGACCCAATCTCACCATTCCTCTTCAACTTTGCCATCAATGACATTCTGGAAACAGCTCTGATGAATGTAAGTAATGGTGGTGTGGATCTGTTGCCTGGAGAAAGACTTCTCGACCTTGAGTATGCGGACGATATTGTCTTACTGTGCGACAATGCCCAAGCCATGCAATCCGCACTTAATCAGTTGGCAATCAGTGTCCGTAGGTATGGTATGTGCTTTGCACCTTCGAAGTGCAAAGTACTTCTACAAGACTGGCAGGATTCCAATCCTGTACTCACCCTGGATGGTGAGCAGATAGACGTAGTCAAGAAGTTCGTGTATCTGGGTAGCTGCATAAGTGCTGGTGGGGGTGTGAGTGATGAGATCAATGCACGAATAGCGAAAACCAGAGCGGCTTATGCCAATCTGGGCCACCTTTGGCGCCTTCGTGATGTTAGTCTGGCTGTAAAAGGTCGGATCTACAACGCGTCGGTGAGAGCAGTTTTGCTCTATGCTTGTGAAACCTGGCCTCTCCGAGTTGAGGACATTAGACGACTCCGTGTCCGATCATCGCTGTCTCCGAAGGATTGCCGACATCCAGTGGCAACACCACGTCAGTAGTGCAGAGGTTCGGCATCGCGTGTTCGGGCACAGAGATGACAATTCAATTGGCGTCACCATCTTGAAACACCGACTTCGGTGGCTTGGACATGTTCTACGAATGTCGTCCCAGAGAATTCCACGTCGTGCATTATTTGCCGACTCTGGGACTGGTTGGAAGAAGCGGAGAGGTGGTCAGTGCATGACATGGTGTCGTGGCATGAAAGAAAGCTGCAAAGGACTGGCTTCTGTCGGTCCTTCACGGCTCCCTGTTTGGGGTCCGAGAGATGGTGCTACACAGTGGCTAGAGACGTTATCAGATATGGCTCAGAATAGAAGCCAGTGGCGATCCTGCTGTAACCTTCTTTTACTTTCTTCATAAAAAGTGGTTGTGTCTCCCTTAACTGAAAGATTTCTTCTGATTGTACCTTTCCGTAGCCTCATTATTACTACACTACCTTACACCAATCTCTTCGTTATTGTTCTCTTTTTCTTACGCTCCTTACCTTTTTTCTCTTCGAATTCTGATTGTTTTGTGTGGCGCATATATATTGGCGCTCTCTTGTACCAATTTTTATGTGTTCAAATAAATAAATAAATTTAAATAGAGCAAGAACAAACATTGATGCAGAATAGTGTGAATTCATTCTATTTCGAGGTTTCTCGTCAGCTGCTTACAAACCAAAATTGTGATAGAATTTTTTACATGGAAATAAATAAATAAATGCACTAACATAACATTATTCAATGAGATAGCTTACAGTGTTGTCCCAAAGAGTTGATTCGTTCTGTGTCGAGCTTAAAGTTCGAGGAAACTTCATCCGAGCATACTGAAAGAAACATGAGAGTAACGGAACCATTGGCTTGACACTGAATAATAGAACAATATCAATACTAAGCTCATGAGATACGGGAACGCTTACTATATCAAAAATTCTAGGATTTCGAGTACAACGTCTCTAACTTTGGGTCAAATAGGGGGGAGGATGTAGACTTCTTAACTAGTTTAATTTAGACAAGAGAGTGATGTAATAATTTTGTATTTATCGGTTTTCAGATTGTTTTACAGAAGCTCTCCAATATTTTCCCAACTTCCAGTATCAACCCTATCTTTTCTCACACTCGATCTGACTAAATGCTACCCTCAATCTTGTGCAACTGAGCCCCACACCATTTGTTCAACATTTCAATGTTCATATAGTACCTCTGTATCTCATCTCATCGACGTTTGCTATGTATGTGAAATAATTACACAGGAACTTAGTATGATCATTCCTTTGACCACATTTAGAATCAATATGATTCAACATTTGCATATCTGAAGACTCTGCAGAAGCATCTCGTGGTCTTACATGTGCAAGCATATGAATAAGCTCTAAGCATTGTATGATTCGACTTTTATCGACAATCACTTGAGTACTGTTCGACAAAACAACTCAGAAAAATATCAAAACATCTCATTGGCTCTTCGTCGTTTCTGCTAACACATATACTGACTGCAGCTCAGAAGCAAAAGAAGTTATATCAGTATATGTAGTTGGTAATCCTAGCCTCAAAAAAGTGGTCAAAGTTAAGCTGAAAGATTTTTAGACGGGGCATTTACCATACCAATCAAGTGAAAAGGTAACGGTATCTGTTGCAGTGGTGGTTAGGCAACCCAAACATACAGATAGACATTCTGGAACCCAGTGACATCCAGCATCATTATAGCGACGGGTGCCATTGGTGAAGTTCGATAGTCAATGACAAAGTTAAACAAGGAGAAAGTGGACAACCCTGACGAACACCACTTGAGGCAATCGATTCTGATGACAGTTCGCCATAAGCTTTCACTCTACCAGTTGTGTTCGAATAAAGAGCCTTTACAAGGTTAATATACTTCTTTGGTACTCCTTTCAGCGACAAACGCTGCCACAGAACCTTACGATCAACCGAGTCAAATTCTGCCTTAAGGTCGACGAATACTACGACTGTGGGGCGTCTGAACGTGTGTCTGTGTTCTAGAACCTGACGTATTATGAATATCTGGTCTATACAACCATGTCCAGGTCGAAAACCAGCCTGATTTTCTCTAGTCTGTTCTTCACGAGCTTTGGTTAGGTGTCGAAGTATTATTGAAGCTAATATTTTAGACACTAAATTAGTTAAGCTGATTTCTCTGTGATTATCATAAGAGGACTTTTGCCCTTCCTTATGGACTGTCACAATCAGTGATTGAGACCAGTCAGATGGGATTACGTCTAGTTCCCAAATTCTACCTAAGACCTCAGTCAATCTCGCTGCTAATACTGGACCACCATCCTTAAAAATCTCAGGAGTAAACCTGTCAGGGCCTGCTGCTCTCCCTCGCTTCAGATTTCCTATAGCTTTTTCAACTTCATAAATAGTTGGAGGACTTATATTAACTTGCCATCCAGGTTGACTGGAGATCGTGGGAAACCGAAGTGTGACTGAAGGCCAGTTGAACTGATCCCTGAAGTGTTCTGCCCATCGATCCAATCTCCTGGATTGAGGATGTATAATATGTCCATCTTTTTCTGAGTGTTTCGATAACAGTCGGTTTCCTAATACCGGTTTCCTTAACGAGTCTGAACAATTGTCTGCTATTACCTATTGCCGCTGCCTTTTCCATCTCTCTTGCTTTCGCTACCCACCAGTGTTCACGACCATTGCGTAGGCTTCTTGTCAGCTTGCGCTTAAGCTGACTCCACTCTTCATTATGTTCAGAGCCAGGTGGAATGAGTTTTCGAGCATCTATCAGTGCGATAGACTTTACGGGTTCCTTAGCTAAACTTTACGGGTTACCGTACTAGCAGATATCATTGCTGTTTCCACAGCTTTTCGGATATCATTCCATGCTGCCTCGGGGTGGGCATCACATACATGGCTGCCTAACTGTTTTCCTAGTTGTTCCTGAAATATACTCTCAGCTTGACTATGATTAAGTAGGCCCCTAAGAGGTTTCCTTGCAGCGTCTTTCCTACGTCCAGTAAGACGCAGACAGATACACGCTCGTACTAGAGCATAATCTGAATCTAAGCATGTGCTCCAGAATGAGCGACAGTCTTCTATCAAGCCCCTCCATCGGTGACTGATAGCGATGTGATCTATTTGGGTCCAACGTTGGGACGAATTAGAAAGTCTCCATGTTATAAGATGTTTTTCTTTATGATTAAAGTTATTATTTGCAAGAAACAGGCAGTTATCTGAGCATAGCTGCAACAGACGGTCGCCATTATCTGTTCTTTGAGCCACGACACTATAAGATCCACCAAGGTGTCCTTCCCTTTCGCTTAGTTTACCTACTTGAGCATTAAAGTCACCGGCCACTATTACTACATCCGAGCGCCTAGCCTTTAGGAAGAGGTCGTAAAGCTTTCTGTAAAACTCATCTTTTACATCATCTGCGCTGCAGTCAGTGGGAGAATAAGCAGAGACGACGACGAGTGTCCCTATCTTTTCGGATCCTTACTGTTCCATTCAGTCGGACAGCGCACAAGCCTGCTGTCCTATTTAGCACAGTGTTCGGACGTTAAAAGCTCTTTTATGTGGTTTAGAGCGTGGTTTCAGGAGACCAGGAATAGCGTTCCGCGTACTCGAATCGTTTGCCCTATGGTGCGAGGTGAAAAAAGGACGTGAGGGTTAGTCATTGGGGGTTCCAGCACCAAGCAAAAGTCACTTAATTAACCCCGCAGACGTGACAGTGACAGACAAAATAAAAGAGACAAGTTAAAAGTTCGATGTTTACGAAATAATCTACGAAAACGATAGTTTTGACTGTTTAGGATAACGGACAGACCAACTCAACTACAGCTCAAATACTTTTCAGTCGTCTACTACTCATAAATACCCTGAATAAGAAACCAAAATTAGGCTTCAATAGTAAAAAAAAGCCATAAATAACTGGAAGAGATGACCGTAAAAATATTTCATACATATAGTTCCCTTTATCATTTTGGAAAGAGCAGTATTTGAAGATGTCTGGCTACAGTTAAATATAATTCTGCCGACTATCATTTGGGTGCTGGAATTTGGAAAGCTTATTAAATAAGTACTGTAGGTCGGAGCCGATCACTTATCTAATTTGATTACACAGATGCTTCTAGAAACAGCAGCCTTCGTTCGACACTATATGTAATCGATCTCCTTATCACTACTACTAGTACACCTGTTTTCATAGTATCCATATGCACTATTTATCTGTTATTTGTAGTCATGCAATCTATTTCAATGTGATCATTGGCTTATAAATTGCCTTGATCGATTTATATTTTCATATAAATATCCATGTATATTAAAGTCTGATGACGACCTAACTTGACACTATCGTTTGCTTATGTTTTGTTCTAATTGATATATCAAATTTACTTATCGACTTAAAGAACCCGGATGACAGTTCAATTTTCTGGGAATGCTGAGGAAATGAAGTCCTTTAAATCTCCTGAGTAAGAATGTAATACTGTTTGAGACCCGTTTCTCTCCTCTAAACTTGAAATATTAATTCAGAAATGGTTTGAGTTGCTGTCTGACTAGAACATAGCAAGAATAGTAGATCAGTGCACTGTTAATTTCATTTATTTGGGAAGTTGCATTAGCCTCGAGTGATCGAGGCTTATTAAATCTTGTATAACGATATAGTACAGGAAGAAAGATTTAGTATGTACAAAGATATCAACCAATTTTAATCTCTTAGTTTAAGGGAAGACAGAGAGTGTATACACCCACGCCATTGTGATCGATTCTGAGCCATGTCACTAAGAGTCTCCAACCATTCGTTACGATAGTTACGTGAAACCCAACCAAGTAGTCTGCATCTATCAACATGACTCAGACCAGAAGTTAGTGACTTCAAGGACTGACGCCACGTTTTAGTTTGACTGCCAGCAACTTTCGTCCAACACTAGTCAGCATTGCACGTCGTGGTAATCAGTGTTCAGGCACAAGTAACACGTGGACCAACCACCTCAGTCAATGAAGATTTACAACCTCATCAACTGATTCCCTAATACCCTGTGTCTAACCTCACTATTACTTATTCGACGATCCCAGCAGATGCGAGCAAACTTTGATCAAATAATAGTAACTTAAGAGTATCTTCTAATCTTAATGCCCACGTTTCGCAGCCGTAAAGTAGAACAGAACAGTCACGCAGTATACTCATCCCTTAATTGGTAGACGGATATCGCTTCTACCATAGGTGACGTAAGTTGGCAAAAGCCAAACGAGCTTTCTGAATCCGTACAGAGATTTCGTCAGACACCAACCCATTAGGGCTGATCAGACCTACAAGATAAGTGAAGTTATCGACGCGTTTCACTACTTTACTACCTGTTCCTAGTTCAGGTGTTGACGCAGGCCAGTTCTAGCATTGCTGCTCAGTGCTACCAAAAGACTGCATTTTATCAGTGTCTTCACCAAACAGGACTATGTCATCCGCGTATTCTAAGTAGATATGTGGACCTCCTGGTAGGAGACCAATACCCGAAAATTCAGTCGACGAAAACATTATTTTCATCAATACGTCTATGATGAAGTTTAACAAAAATAGAAATATTGGACAGTCTTGACGGACACCACTTGGGGTTGCAAAATCAGATGACATTTCGCCATAAGCTCTGACTCGACTGTTAGCGTTCGAATAAAAAGCCCTCACAAGGTTTATGTACTACTGAGGAAAACCTTTCAATGACAGACACTGCCACAGAACTTCTTGGTCAACAGAGTCAAATGCTGCTTTTAAGTTGAGAAAAACTATCGTTGTTGGACGCCAATAAGCATGCTTGTGTTCTAGAACCCGACGAATGGGAATACGTAGTCGATGCAGCCACGACCAGGTCTAAAGTCGGCCTGATTTTTCCGTGTTTGCAGGATCTAAATTAATGGGTCATCTAAGAATGATAGTGGTTATCTATAATCTTTATGAGAATAAAACAACATTGTGATCGTGGAAGTAATATTCAACAAGTTGCCGTTGACTGTTTTCGTTGAAAATCTTACATTCGGAGTGGAGTCCGCAGGTGACAGATGTTTATCTAAAGAAACAAGTGCAATGTTTCTTGCACTAGAGAGAACAAACGCAACATCGAATTATAAAAGACGACGACCTATTATTGTGTACAGATGAATTAAACATAGTCCATATTTGAAATGTCTGATATAAAACATTTTTATTAAAACGGATACTTACGACAATAGGGAAAAAATCCACCCCAAAAAGGTTATGCATCTGGGCTACCTTGAGATACTGAAGTTCCGCTTTGTCGCTGTAATATTATTTAAAATGGAAAGTGATGTTCAAAACAAACCGATTCATTCCCTTGTGGGATTTATAATGTTCCCGAAACTTCTGTGTTACACCTTGAGTGGACTGTATTTGGGTCCATAGTTGAGCTGGGATTAATCTGAGAATACGGCGCGGTAAGTATGTGAGTTCCTCTGTATCACTAAGCTCTTCCTCGCAAAGATCACCGTACTCTGCCTACAAAAAACATTGACTCTAAAAGTAAAACTAGTTTTTTTTAATATATATAACTGGCAAATTCAACAATCAACAGAGCAAGCAAACCGGCAATTTAGCAACAAAAACTTTCGTTTCGCTAACAAATTTTATGGTTGCTAAAGTAATAGTTATTACTATAACGGCCATCAGCTTAACGTAACTATGACTTTAGAAACATGGTAATTGCAAGTAATCAACAATGATTTCCATTAGTGATTCTAATTCGTAAACTACTATGAACAGTGCTGTTTTCCTGTCATCGGTTTTTACCGAAAGATAAAAGCGTTTCAACGAAACACGTGTACCAATCACCTCAGTTGGTAACGATTTACTACCTCCTCAAGCAATTTCCCATCCTCACCACTACACTATTTTTAACCCAGGCACTACTTACTCAATGGTCCTAAACTACACGAGCAATTCTTCGAAGACACCTATGATCGAATTATTATTATTATTATTAATGGCTTTATTCAATACTAGTAACCTACGAATATCCTCTACTCTTAATAGCCACGTTTCACAACTATGAAGTTCGGTAGATTGAAGTGTTGTACGCTAAACTTGTGCTTTTGTTGGCAAACGGATGTCCCACCTGCGCCACAAGCGACGCAAGTTGACAAAGGCCAATCGAGCTTCTTAAATCCATGCCGGGATTTCGTCAGACACCAAACCATCGGGACTAATGAGACTCTCATGATAAGCGGACAGTCGAAGCACCCTATTCTTCCACTTACTATTATTAGTTCAGGCCATGATGCAGTCCAGTCTTGAAGCAACATTTGACATTTTAAGTGAGACCATCGGATCCCAAAAATGTTGGTGTTGCTCTCTAAGGTGGTCAGAAGACCCAGCATTTTGTCAACGTCTTCACCAAACAAAACTATATCATTTGCTTATTCTAAGTCATCGACTGAGATGATTGGGCCACGTGTTACGTATGTCTGAACACCGATTACCACGACGCCCAATACTAACCGGTGTTGGAGATGGTTGGAAGAAAGTTAGGGGCGGCCAAACCAAAACATGGCATCAGTGCTTGAAGCCACTAACTTCTAGTCTTAGCCATGTTGGTAGATGCAGACTACTTGGTTGGGGTCCGCGTGACTATCGTAACCAATGGTTGGAGACTCTTGGTGACATGGCTCAGAATCGGACACAATGGCGTGGGTGTATACACTCTCTGTCTTCTCTTAAACTAAGAGATTAAAATCGCTTCATATCTTTCTTTCTAAGAACTAATTCTTTCTTCGTGTACTATATCCTTATTGCAATCTTTCTTTTATATATTACCACCTCTGAATTAACTACTTTTATGAATCCGGTGTCCATCTTGTTGTGTACATAAGGTATGGCAACTTGGACCGATGCACATATGTGCCTGGTCCTACGTTGTAGCTGACTGACTAACTGACTCTAAGTCAACAAATGAAAAGTCAGACGATGAGAGCATTATACCTTAACAGACATCTATGACAAAGTCAAATGAAAATAGAAAAAGCAGACAGCACATCTTCAGCTTTTGTTATCCACGACTGCCCATGATCATTGAGTAGCCTTTTCGTCAATCTGCGATCAGGCTGCCTCCTCTCCTTATCGTTTTCAAAGCTTGATGAAACCGAGAACCGATCAGTTACGTAGACGCCAGAGAAATCCAGTGATTTTTCTGAAACTGGTGGTTTTAATTACTGTTAGATAACACTGCTCATGTGTTTGGTCATCGTGTCAAGCTACCACGGGGTGGATATCACTTTCATGCCTGATTAACTCCTTTAGTTGTTCCTGGAAAATATTCATGGTTTTTTTAATCACTAAGCCGGACTCCAAGAGGTTTCCTGCTGTGACTTTTCTGCGTTCAGTGAGACAGATAAACACGTGGTCGTACGTGCTCCAAAATAAGCGCCAGTCTTATCAAGCTTCTTCAAAGATAGCTGGTTGCAACATGGTATATTTGTATCCATTGTTGAGCCACTTTTAGGTCAGCATTTTAGGTAATGTCTCTGTTTATACTTGAAGTTAGTTCCAGTTAGAAATGAGCGGTTTTCTGAGCATAGTCGAAGATGGTCTCTATGAGCTATTATTAGCTGAGCTGGTGCAACGTGATACCCACACAAGTACCTTTCAGTTTGCATAGGATTACCCTTATAGTAAAATTACTTGCTACGAGTACTATATCTGATTGTCTAGTTTTTTAGGAGATGAAAAGCCTTCCATGAATGTTCATTTTTCAAATTCATCTGAACTACAATTATTGAGAACGCAGGGATAGGCAATGATGAGACAACGACGTGTCCCCATATCCCCGAGTTTTGCTATCTCGTTTAGTCGAACAACGCACAAGCGTCTATCTAGCAGAATCCGGTCAAGGAATACCTGTTCCGTTTTTGAACCTAGTGCTGTACCTACACCGGTGAAGTCACAGGAAGTATTAGTGGGGTCTCCAGAAACACAGGGTAAATCACCCTGATTGAATTGTGTTCAAACAGATAACCACACTCGAATTTTGTATGCATGTATCGGAGATACAACACACGTCGACAGCGCGATATTCTAGAGTCCTAGTCAGGGAAGTCTGTGATAATATTTGACGTAAGTTTCGAACACTCAAAGCTCCTAAATGTAGTTCAGAACGGTTTCTTTTAGTGGGATATAAATTTGATTAATTTATTTAGTTATTTGAACATATAAGATTGGTACAAGGCGGCACCAGATATATATGCGCCGAATAAATTTCATTTGGTTTGTGTGAGGGCTGTGATCCTACATGTGTGCTCAAACCGAAGAAGGTGGTTTTCCTAAGGGGCCACAACCCGAGCCTTTGACCTAAAGGTCTAACCCACAAGGCAGTGGAGCATCTTGAGGAGATGCAGTCCCATGGTAGCCAGTGACCAACGATTGGTTCATACGCCAGTTGTTCCTGTAGGATACTGGAGCCCATGTGCACCATTGGTTTGTGATCCGGTTAAAGCGACGGACATTCGCTTTCCTTCCTCTCAATTTCGTAAACAACACCCTCGTCACGAGAAGGTACTGAGTGGAACTTCCCTGGCTGTATACGCGTGGCCGTGTGAGAGCATTTCGAGAGGGAGAGCGGGCCCACCCCGCTCTCAGCCATACCAGGGCATTTGGGGGCTACGTAGGGGGGTGCACTCCCATGGTAACCGGTGACCAATAAATGGTTCATACGGCAGTTTTGATTAAAGCACGTTGCGTACAGGATTGTGTTGAAGCACGTTCATTGGCTAGTTCTTATCCAATCAGCGCTAGTGAATACTTGGAGAAGACTCTCGAGTCTCATGTAAAAACCATTAATATACTAACGTTTCTTTGATTGGGATTCCTATTTCCATTCAACCTTTTATGTGGAATATAATTACGTCCCTGTTCAACCGTGTTCTGAGTTGGGACTTGTCGAGTGAAGTAGTGTCCAAGAATACTGAGCAATAGTAGCTAGGTCGTAATAACAGAAAGTAAAAGTTTCATAAAACCAGGATCTAGTCCGTAAACACTAATGGGGCATGAGGATAAGGCTAATGTTATAGGAAACGGGCAGGTAGTAGTGAAAGAAGGATATTGAGTTTGTTAGACGTATGAAGGCGATTACCAATTTTCAGTTTTCTACTCCATGGGAGGATACTTCTTGAAGTACATGGAATAAAAACTGAATTAGCAATAGCCTTGAGGAACTAGGAGGGCGATCTCAACGCTCGTAGAACAACTTCAGACTGGTCTCGTGTGAGTTTTGTAACGTGATAGCTCTGTTCTTCAAATGACCCTGCCGCCTGAAATCTATAGCGTAAGATGAAGTGTGATACTCTAAGGGTCGACCTTTCGTTGTGAGAAGTCAGTATCACTATAAACCCTGGTCACTCACGGGTAACACCTTGCCTTAACACCTCGCACCTTCGTACAGTCAGCGGTACAACTTAGCCCTCGGACCTTGAGCTCTTGCGTTTAGTCTACCATTTTTCCAAGCAAACTCTGTAATGATCGAAACAATTGTTTCAGCCAATATAGCTCGATTGGGTGCCGATATCTTGTACCAGTGTTTTACAAATCACAAAAATGACCTGCATATTTTTCTCAGCATCTATCGTAAGAAGCTCGAAATTCATGTGTGAGAATCTAGTTTGAACTTTATTGTAAAGAGGAAAAGCTACTCAGTTTTAGATGGGATATAGGGATTTTTATTCTTCGCATTGAAGTTTGTAGTTTTTTTTTAGTATATTTCAGGTTTTTACTCACTGAACTACAAGACACAGACAAATCGCTTATGATTCCCGAAACCAATATTTCAAACTACTGTTCATGAGCAGTCAAACTTAACACAGATTATATGACTAAACTATTCTTTAAAGATGGTTCTTTCTGTATAAAAATGTTAAAAATCTTACATTAGTGAAATATGCTCCCAACATCCAGCTGTTCCGATACTTATTAACAAGCATGTATATGTAAAGTGAACAATCTAAAGAAGGAAAAATAAGACGGAGATTCTTGGAAATCACCTCGGATACAACTTCACTGATCTTCCTCAACTAAAGATGTAAAAAATTTAAGTCTAGATGTTCTTACAAACGGAAATATAAGTTTAAATGACATGTGCTTCCGCTTTGATTATAAAGTGTAAAAGACGAGAGAAATTGAAATCAATGCAGTAAAAGATTATCTCCAAAGCATTGGGCGAAATGTGCCAAACTAACCTGAGAAGCCAATGAGGCAAGAAGAATAGCCACATCGAGGGACGGACAAAGATCGCCTGGATCAAAAAGGAAGGGTTTCGTACAACAATTAGTCAGAATTAAAGCACTTGATTGTCAATTCATCAATACTGCTGAAAAAAGGGAGATTTTTAACTACGAACTGCAAAACCTCTTATGCTACTTCAAGTAGCCTATACTGAGAATACTCAAACAAGATCTTTTTACGGATGCTAGTGAGCCAAACTTAAACATGGTTTTTCACTCTCTATCAAGTAAATATCAAGGCAGTCTATTATCGAAAACGTCAACTCCAACTGCCGTTCATCAATGGCTTCCTACCATTTATTTAATTTCGTCATGACAATTTCTTCATCTAACTTCTCAGGGGATGGTCCTTCACTAGGTGACTAACTTATCAACCGAAAATGCACTAATGACAAAGTTACATTTGGTGAAGATGGTGAAAAAAATATAGCCTACAATCCAAGAAGTTTGGGATGTATTTCTTCCTTTCGAAATGCAAAATGGTGCTTTCTGACTGACCTGCATCAACGCCTGAACCAATGATACTAGGTCAGTCATCTACAACGTAGGACCGGGCACATGTGCATCGGTCCAAATTGACACACCTCATTAGCACATGAAGACGAACACTAAATTCGTAGAATCAGTTACTTCAATGGTAGTAATGTATATAAAAGATTGTGTATAAGTATATAGTACAGGAAGAAAGATTTAGTATGTACAAAGATATCAACCAATTTTAATCTCTTAGTTTAAGGGAAGACAGAGAGTGTATACACCCACGCCATTGTGATCGATTCTGAGCCATGTCACTAAGAGTCTCCAACCATTCGTTACGATAGTTACGTGAAACCCAACCAAGTAGTCTGCATCTATCAACATGACTCAGACCAGAAGTTAGTGACTTCAAGGACTGACGCCACGTTTTAGTTTGACTGCCAGCAACTTTCGTCCAACACTAGTCAGCATTGCACGTCGTGGTAATCAGTGTTCAGGCACAAGTAACACGTGGACCAACCACCTCAGTCAATGAAGATTTACAACCTCATCAACCGATTCCCTAATACCCTGTGTCTAACCTCACTATTACTTATTCGACGATCCCAGCAGATGCGAGCAAACTTTGATCAAATAATAGTAACTTAAGAGTATCTTCTACTCCGCAACATCGGTCAGACTGTTCTGCCCTCCATGGCCGGTGACGACTGATCCACCAAATGAGGCGGAAGTCCGCAAGGAACTCCAACTCTTGAAGCGTTACAAATCACCTGACACAGATGACTTACCTCCGGCTCTTTTTAAAGATGGTGGTGACTTCCCGACTAAGGAATTGACGACGTTGTTTACAAAGGTTTGGGAACCAGAGAGTGTGCCAACGTCATGGAATGAGTCGATAGTTGTCCCTATCTTTAAAAAGGGTTCACGTCGTTTTTGTAACAACTATCGGGGGATAAGTCTACTTCCGATTGCGTCCAAGCTATTGGCTTCCGTCATACTTCGTAGGTTTTTCAAAACTCGAGAAAGATTGACTCGCGAGGAGCAGGCTGGGTTTCGTTCTGGTCGAGGATGTATTGATCATATCTTCACCCTCCGCCAAATGTTAGAACACCGCCATACTTATCAAAGGCCAACAATCGTAGTGTTTCTTGACATCAGGGCTGCCTTCGATTCGTTGGACAGGACTGCTCTCTAGGATTGTCTATTGAAGAAGGGTGTACCTGAGAAGTTTATTAACATCCTAAAAGCTATATAAACAAACACCTCAGGCAGAGTGAGGGCATACAACCACCTCTCTCCATTGTTCCATTCGAGCAGTGGGGTTAGGCAGGGTGACCCAATCTCACCATTCCTCTTCAACTTTGCCATCAATGACATTCTGGAAACAGCTCTGATGAATGTAAGTAATGGTGGTGTGGATCTGTTGCCTGGAGAAAGACTTCTCGACCTTGAGTATGCGGACGATATTGTCTTACTGTGCGACAATGCCCAAGCCATGCAATCCGCACTTAATCAGTTGGCAATCAGTGTCCGTAGGTATGGTATGTGCTTTGCACCTTCGAAGTGCAAAGTACTTCTACAAGACTGGCAGGATTCCAATCCTGTACTCACCCTGGATGGTGAGCAGATAGACGTAGTCAAGAAGTTCGTGTATCTGGGTAGCTGCATAAGTGCTGGTGGGGGTGTGAGTGATGAGATCAATGCACGAATAGCGAAAACCAGAGCGGCTTATGCCAATCTGGGCCACCTTTGGCGCCTTCGTGATGTTAGTCTGGCTGTAAAAGGTCGGATCTACAACGCGTCGGTGAGAGCAGTTTTGCTCTATGCTTGTGAAACCTGGCCTCTCCGAGTTGAGGACATTAGACGACTCCGTGTCCGATCATCGCTGTCTCCGAAGGATTGCTGACATCCAGTGGCAACACCACGTCAGTAGTGCAGAGGTTCGGCATCGCGTGTTCGGGCACAGAGATGACAATTCAATTGGTGTCACCATCTTGAAACACCGACTTCGGTGGCTTGGACATGTTCTACGAATGTCGTCCCAGAGAATTCCACGTCGTGCATTATTTGCCGACTCTGGGACTGGTTGGAAGAAGCGGAGAGGTGGTCAGTGCATGACATGGTGTCGTGGCATGAAAGAAAGCTGCAAAGGACTGGCTTCTGTCGGTCCTTCACGGCTCCCTGTTTGGGGTCCGAGAGATGGTGCTACACAGTGGCTAGAGACGTTATCAGATATGGCTCAGAATAGAAGCCAGTGGCGATCCTGCTGTAACCTTCTTTTACTTTCTTCATAAAAAGTGGTTGTGTCTCCCTTAACTGAAAGATTTCTTCTGATTGTACCTTTCCGTAGCCTCATTATTACTACACTACCTTACACCAATCTCTTCGTTATTGTTCTCTTTTTCTTACGCTCCTTACCTTTTTTCTCTTCGAATTCTGATTGTTTTGTGTGGTGCATATATATTGGCGCTCTCTTGTACCAATTTTTATGTGTTCAAATAAATAAATAAATCTTCTATTCTTAATGGCCACGTTTCGCAGCCGTAAAGTAGAACAGAACAGTCACGCAGTATACTCATCCCTTAATTGGTAGACGGATATCACTTCTACCATAGGTGACGTAAGTTGGCAAAAGCCAAACGAGCTTTCTGAATCCGTACAGAGATTTCGTCAGACACCAACCCATTAGGGCTGATCAGACCTACAAGATAAGTGAAGTTATCGACGCGTTTCACTACTTTACTACCTGTTCCTAGTTCAGGTGTTGACGCAGGCCAGTTCTAGCATTGCTGCTCAGTGCTACCAAAAGACTGCATTTTATCAGTGTCTTCACCAAACAGGACTATGTCATCTGCGTATTCTAAGTCGATATGTGGACCTCCTGGTAGGAGACCAATACCCGAAAATTCAGTCGACGAGAATGTCATTTCTCGCTGTAGGTTCATGATGGAATTACACAAAAATGGGTACAGTGGACAACCTTGCTGAACTGATGATGTGGGATGAAATTGTTGAGCGTATCGACCACTTCCCCTATATTAGAAGTTTCATCAGCCCTGGTGATGGGCTTACATCTGAAGAAATCTCGTCACGAACTCGGAAAGGTTGGCTGACCTTTCCCATTGAGTCACTTGTGGTGTAGGCCCGATATCCGTCTATCAACCAAAGGACGAGTACAGTGAGCAGTAATTCACTTTGTTTTACTTCATAGCCGTGAAATGTAACCTTTAAAAATAAAGCATATTCTTGGGTTACTAATGTTTGATAACGGATACAACCGGACCAGTGCTCGTATATGTTGGGACCAACGAGTGAGCTATGTTGAGGTAAGATGTAGAGTACTGAGCGAATAACAGGTTGTTACAGCTGACTTAGTCAATAACTTGTTTCTCTAAATCTGTTTCCAATTATAAGGGTGTGCAAATTCAATCTTCAAAAAAATCCGATTTAATTCCAGATAGTTTATCTGCTGTATTTATGTATGTGTGCAGTTATTGGCTTTTTACACTTTTCTTTCCTCCTTTTTGTGGACAAAACTTGTTTACATACCTTTTGCTGGAAATTTCAAATTGTACCAGGAGTATAATATTGAATAAAGCCACTAATAACGATAAGTAAACGACTTGATAAGCAGTTATTTGCTGAGAAACATAGGCATGCATAACTGGGGTTTATGGTGAACACGATTAAAATAAAATGGAAAGTGTTTCGATACTGAATAAAACAACAGGCTATTGACATATAGGTATAACCCTAAACCTACCAAAACAATTTCCATTCATATTGGATTCGCTTCGATTTAAAATGGTGGATTTGACACTTAAATAGAACAGACGACGAGTTGTAGCTTGTATTAGTTCCTGTTCAACATCTTCAGGAAAGAATTTGGTGTGAAAAAAGAAGCAAAGAGACTTAGAGATATCTTCTGGTTTTTGTGAAACAATCTAAAAGTCAGTAGTTGAGAAAATATTAGATCACCTTCTTATCTAATTTAAGCCAGTGAGAAAGTTGCATTCTTCCATTTGGAAAGAAGCTATAAAATTGTAATCCGAAATACCACGTCTCTCTCAAGCCAATTGTACTGCAGACTAGATCGAAGAGGTATTTTCCTGTGCTTTTAGGCTGAAGCAAAGGTGCTTATTGTAGAAATAAAACATACCGATATGTTAAACTCCAACTCAGACTCATGCAGTGTTACTCTGATCTTCAAACATTTAGCATCCGAATTATTCCACTTCATCGAGTGCTGAAATCTGCCGTGATATTACCAATCAATGCTGAATTAACATAACTTTCAGGTACTTGAATAAATTTGTGCTAAAGAATGTGGCGAAATATTCGACCACATGAAGTTCAAGGAAACAAGATAAAAAGGTGTATTTGAACTTATGGGATTGTTTCAGCGCAGCATACCATATTGTAACAGTCTCGATGGTGCTGACTAGTGTTCCAGATGCTAAGCTTATCTAATGAATGAGATTAGATCCATCTTATTCAGCTACGTTAACCCAAAGCACTACAAGTCAACCATACTTAGATGCTTTAACGAACAGACTAATATAACAAATCGAAATACATAGCACAAATCTACAAACATATCACTAAATACCTTTAGTATGAGTAGTTATGAGCCGATCGTCGACAAGTACACACAAACCAGACTTTAGGGCTAGTGGAGCAAAGCAGCATACATTCAAAAACCCTAGCGACGTGAAAAATCACTCTGATAGATTAACTCAGAGTTTTTAAAGATGATAAACCAGTTTCAACAGCACGGCTACTTGCAACGTCTACTAGTCTAGGTGTTGTACAAACCCTACCTAATTGATCTCGAACACCGACAGTTTTCGTACTTAAGAAAGGACAGGAAACACCTTGTGATAGCCACAAAGGGATCGATCTGACCAATGAAGAATTCTAAATACTAGTTTTTATAGTTATTATCTAACTGGAGTTCATAGACAGTAAATACTAGAAGTCCAGGCTGGTTCCGAATGAGAGCCTGTCCTACAACACGGCAGTACTCTGAAATCAAAGAATTGTCTACAAAATTGTTCGTAAGTATAGCTAAAAAATATTTATACATCTTAAGCCTTGTATCTACTATCAGCTGTCCTCAACCATTTAGACTTATTGTAATTAGTAATTTACTAGTCACTTCGAAACTTATTGTTCACCGTAACTCTTTAAGGTTTTAGCTTTATGTGACCAACCCATACTTTGTAAAAGTCATACAGACTTTACCCGAACTACCTCCACTACTGCCTAAGAATTGTTTATGGACTTCAAGGTCAGTACTAACGTCGGAAGTGCAGTTTATTCGAACCTCTCTTTCAAATTACCATTAGAGTAAACGCTAAAAGTGATGATGTTTAAAGAATGAGTTCTACTTTCACGAACTCTGATATGGCTTTTTCGCTTAATTTTATCTTAGAAACAAAATTACCTATCATGGTAATTATAGGCTGTCTTGTAGTCATGGTGAAAAACCAGTTCATTTAAGAGTAAGAACGTTAATCTAGGTCGTAGACACCAGTATTTTAATTTCATTAGACATGTGCAGTATATCTAATATATCTTTAATGAGCTAGTTCTGAAGTAATCGTAATAATGATAGAAGCGAGAGTAATCGTAGAAATCTGCAGTTCTGACAGGTGACTTTTTTGAGAATTAGTGAGATCGACTGATGTAGCTGAGAGGTTTGTGGCAGCTGAATTTCAATAGTACCGGAGCCCTGTGAACACTATATTTGGGGGATTTACTCGAACGATAATATCCGCCATCTGGTTGGTTTCGAGACCAAGCTGTTGAATTAAGTAATTCCCAAATATAGATGCTTAGTTAGTAAGTACCACTGCTGTTGATTGTCTTAATTTCTATAGGCACGTCACTAGCTGAAGAAATTCAGTCAAGTATCCTAACAAGTTCAGGCTTTTTGGCGCAAAACACATTGGTGATAACTAGCCAACGTAAAAGTTCTGCACTAAGATATTTCTGTCTACTGTTCAATAATTCCTAACACTCGATCTGGATTAACTATCCCAGAAACATTTTGACAGAAGGTAGTGAGAAACCTATACGGCCGGATTCCCCACTACCCGCTCTTATTTGATTGATAAGCTTGACGTGACATAGAACATGGAAGGATATTTTACGGGTGAATTTATCCGCAACGCTTCTGTTTCTCATCCCAAAGTTATTATGCATTTTTCCCACACTGTGACGCAATGTTTTTTATATTCTGGAACTATTTCTCAACACCTAATCTCCTCTAATGATGAATATATTTTAAAATTCATTCGAATAAAGATCTCGCGTCATCTGCCTCAGAAATCATGTTGTTCTGACCTGGAAATATCGAAGTTTAGTCCCAATATTCAGAAACATATTCTCAAACTCGATGTAATCCGACGACGAGCACAGTTTCTTGTATTTGTCAAAACACTGCCGTGGGTGTTGAACGAGTACACTGGGTCGAACACGTTTGCTAACACAACTCCGCACCATATGAGATTTTGAGGACGACTGCTTTTGAATAAGAAGACCTATAGACTGGTAGAGCGCATATCGTCACTCACGTTGAAGAACTGAAAATATATAACTGTTCAATAACCGTTATGTTTAATATCATCAATTTTACTGTGCTTTGATTTGGTATCTTCAGAGTTCTTCTCTGAAAGCCTAAAAATTGAAGGTTCTTTGTGAAACTGTTGTAATTATTATTAGAACGATTTATTTGGAATTCGACTCTCTTGTTATTTAGGTCGTCGATTACAGGTGGATCAATTGACCGTATTTTAGGAGCGGACTAGAGCAAAATTTGAACGTAACACTCATTTTATATATTATATAAGATATTTCATTAGTAAAGTTTTGAAGTAGGAAACATTAGTTTAATCTTGGATATTTACAAATAGGTAGGCATCTATTACCGTCTGAGAGCTCCACAATCCTGAACCGGCCACCTATCCTCTCCATTTTTCTACAGGAGATTATGTTAGGGTGGCGTTCAGTAGTTGTCATGGGATGATTTCCAACCTTTAGAAGGCGGTCAAAATTGGGCTAATATTCTATATCTCGCAATCGCAAAAGCCACTTCCTATGCGATCGTAGGAATTATCACAGTTTACTGTCGAAACTTTGATGATTAGCTTTGGTTAAAACCAGAAATCTCATGACTATAGCCAGTAACTTTCCAACCGCTACTGGTACGGTTCATATTTAATTCGGTGGAATGATTTGACTTTACTTGTTATGTCCTTACCACATAATCCTCAAAGCTGAACATGCAATAACTGGGAAAATGTCTATTCAACAATTAACACGGAGAGAAAATCAACAATGGAGAAAGCGGGAAGAATTAGTTGAATTGAATGGAATGGCATGGCTCATGACAATTCTTGTGTTACTTATCATTTTTGTTTGATATTGAATAAATTGTTCTATCCCTAGCCTGAATGTATCCTCCAGAAGTAGGTAACATCATAATGGTCATTCTTACGGCAGAACAAGTTAGTTTAGACAATGGTGTGACTTCCATGTACGATCTTTTAGATAAGGTAATCATATCATGACAAATGTGCGATTTAAGGAGTAGGCCTGATATTATAATAGTACTAGTAACGAACCAGACCATAATTCTACGAGCTCATTGTTGACTTCATTTGGCTGGTTTCGCACTAAACGTCCAGTAGTGCCCGTAAGTATGTTCAAATTGTATGAACGAGAACGACAATTTTTGCGTTCTTTATTTTTTTGCTTGGGGTAGCCTGCTCGAATTTCTTTTAACCATTTGCATCTAGACTACATTCTCTTTGCGGCTTGTGATGCACGCGATAAGATTTACAATGATTGGGCCTCAAAATGTACAAACATTTTGATTATGGTGCATCGTACGTGATTCGGCTGCGAAAACTCTCTCCGTGACACAAAATGAGATACATCTCAGATGGTATAGTAAAGTTTTCAGATTTAATATATTCGCAGTGCTGTACGTAGCATGAAAGAGCTTGGATCCATCCTTATCTTAGCACCGTTTCACCTACGACATTTTACTGACCGAAAGTCGAAGATATCGTTAGAATCAAGGTGATGACCTAACATTTTGTTTTTCCTTAGAAAACCCCTATGACATTTTGATCATCTGATGAAGAAAAACGACTTTTCATCTCTTGACCTATGAATGAATTCGGTCCTACAGCTTTATTTTTTGTAGATGTTTGAATGTAGGACCGGCTAGACTGTTCACATGTTGGGTCACTAGCCATATATTTTGTTGATTGACATAATTTATGCTGAGTGGTGGTCTCCAAAGGAAGTTGGGGATCAGTGTTTATGACTGTACGCTCCTCAATCCATCTCCATACGAAGTACGTTTTTGAGCGATACCGTGATTCGTGAGGTTCAGAATAATTTATCTGGCAGAACTAGGTAGCATTCTGTTTTTGACATAATAAAGGATTGGAACTGTATGTTTATATGTTTCAAGCAGTAGCATATGTGTAGAATTACGGTCCACTTCGTTATTACCATTGCTCTATCAATAAACCTAATCCTAAGATTGTAGATTTGTCATGATATAACTGCCTAATCTATAAGATCTTATGTAGAAAACACTCCACTGTCCACACTGAAATATCGTGTCGTAACAATCACCAATACATGATGGAAAGCACGTTTTGGCTAGAGATAGAACAATATATTTAATATGAATAATATATATGACAACACACAAGAGGGACCAAACCTGCAAGGCTGAACCATGCCATCCGATGAGTTGAATTTCGAATGAATGTTGCTGTGTTCACCATTACTGACCTTCTTTTGTTGTTACATGTTGAAAGTCTACTTGCCCAGTTATCTCGTGTTCAGCTTCAAGGATTGTGGTCAGGATTCAGTGTCACTACAGTTTCCGAAGGTCTAGATGAGAGATTTTACTACTACAATGAGGCTGTCTCTAACTTGTTTAAGGGACCATTCAAAAATGTCTGTTACAGCGAATATGCCAGACGCTAGATGGCGATATTTTCACTTGCTGATTTATTGTCAACGAAGGCGATTCATTATTGCTGTCGAAATGAAGCATGCCAGTTTAAAGGCAAAATCAAATTGTTACAAATGATACAGTTTTCACTGTAGTAAATTACTCAACTGGGTTGATATTTTATAGGATATGAATTTAGATGTTTTTATTAGGAGGCTTCTAGAAATCACAATTTTATATCTATCTGGAATATCTGAGGCCTTAATGATGGTGCAGGAAAAAATCGCCCGTTCCATATTTGTTTTCCTTGGCATATTTCAAGAGGGCTGAAAAAGGGTGCAAGAAAAACAAAGGACGAGTAGGAGAGCAGACAATGTTCATGAAAGAGTAGTTAAGATATGACTACTCAGTCTAATCCTCTTTTATTAAAGTATTCATTGAGTAAAAGTATTTCAATAGGTTAAAGAAAACAAGTATAAACAAGTTATCAGCAGATAAATGGTTGACACATTGAGGTGGTTCAGAAAGAAGCTGAGAGTATAGGATTATGTGTATTTATAAAATATAGTGCTGAAAACAGTATCATGATGCACAAATGGCTGTATCCCTCTTTTGTCGAAGCTATTTGTGCCCTTTTTAGATTTTATAGGGTCTTGAGTAAGCTTCGTTTTTAGCGAATTGTCTAGTTTGCTTGTAATAGGATTACTTCGTAGGAAGTGAAATCAATTTAACGTTCTAAACACGATTTACTGAGATATTTTGCATAATAAATCAGCATCAATACCATTAGTTCGTGACATTCCACTAGACCATAAGGAGCCGTAATTAAACAGAATGTCCTAGAGAGTTAATAATTAGGTATATTTGTTAGTACTGTACTGAGTGCATATTTTGTGGTTTTAAAAATGGCATTGCATCCTCTTTGTGACCCGGAAGAACGCGCAAATGGTTCAAACCCTACATTGTTGTGTTAGATTGCTGGTGATGAAGAGTATTTATACAAAATGACCATTTGATAATTTTGTAATTGGCATGATGTACTGATTTAAATGTCCTTGGTATGAACTGTGATCTTGGCGAACGTATACTTTAGGCTCCACCCGGGATAAAGAAGTTCTATAGCTATGTACCCCATACGTGATGCTAAAAAGGAAAACAAAGTAACAACAAGGCAACTGGATATAAACCCTAGGTGATGCTCAACCGTTTGTAGTGGAAAAGACGTAGGTATGGTAAATTAGTAACTAAAACTCAAACTACCTCCTGAAACTAGAGTGAATTTCAATTAAAAGTCTTCAGATAGGGGAATCCAGTAATAAAGGATAGTG